AGGGTGTATTGCACGCGGCAAATCTCCCTCCCCCTATTTCCGCTCAGGCAAAAGCCGCCGAGGGGTGTATCGCACGCGGCAAATCTCCCTCCCCCTATTTCTGCTTAGGCAAAAGCCGCCGAAGGGTGTATCGCGCGCGGCTGTGGTCCTGTAAGGAAAGCATTACGGTCGTGGGAAACTTTTATACCACACGAATTGCCTTTATCGCGGGGATTGAGCACGATATTTTTTGAACAGCACTTTGGGTAATTCCCTGCCAAGGTTTTAGGCAGGTTTATGACTTTTACCCGCTGCCACGCGATGACTATGATATTGTCATCAGCGGCTCAAATAACCCCCATATACTGAGTTTGAGCAAGATCCGTCACAAACATTTTGGGGCCCGGATAGCCGAATAACGCCATCAGTTTTTAGAATTATCCTTACCTTTATCGATTTTGTTTTTTTTGTGCAAAGTTTGAGCTACGGGGCTGGGGGTTGGTGAGGAAGGTAGGTGAGCATACTGATTACTCACGCAGCGGGAATAGGGAATGTAGAAGTGGGCACAGGTAAAGGTGTACAGGGATAGAAATGGAACCTTTATCGTTTTTGACAGGGCCGGGCGGAGCCGGGTAAGTCAGCTAGTATGTCATATATTGAATTTTGTGAAAATTGTAAATTTGGTCCAGTTAAATTGATACCTAGTTCATTCATCAACTTTTGTATATGAAATTTGATACATATCAGACCGAATTTGTTGCTGGCTTTATCTAATGGACATATTACAAAGTTGTTTCTTAGCTCTTTGAAGTATCTGGAATTAAAATCATAACTATGTTTGCTTTTCAATCGTGATTTGTAAAGAAGTGGTACAATTTACGTAGGAATTTTGTTGAAAGGAATTCCTTAATGTTGATGAGTTCCTCATTACTTAATTTGTATTTTTTGATATATGTTTTCATAACCCTTTCTACAGTTGCATGAATCCATTTAAGTACCTCTTTTTTATTGGTGCTGTGTTGTAATCTATATTTAGCACCTTTACTCATTATTGGTTGCAAACGTTTATCTTTGATTAGATCTAGCTTTCCAGTAACTATATGTCCATGGTTATGTCAATGTATTTTTCTTTACCAGCTTCCTTGCATTTGCAGTCTTTTGAAAGAATCTGTTTTAGTTTATCTATATCAAGTTTGTTGAGAATAGAATTGTAGTTAAAGATTTTTTGTGATATTGGTTCTTTATACATGTGTACCAGTCTTCAGGGGTTGTATTAGTGTTTTCTAAAGTATTCTTTATATAAGTGCTTTTAATAATTGTACTCAAATTAACTTGGTCTGATATGTTGCGAATATATTCAACTTTAACATTTATAAATTTGGAATTTGATTTTTTTGTCATCATCGAACATATATTAGGTTGTCCGGAAATTAATGCCCGTTTTGAATTTCAACCGCAATAAGTCATACACTCTTCAATTCTAAATAGATAGCAAAATACCATTCGATAGAGCAAAGCAAGCTCTACAAGATGGCCATTTTGCTTTTGCAACAGCTTTGATCCATCTCGAGTTTCGAGCCAAAAACTAAAAAGACTTAGCAGCCCGAAAAATCGAAAAAAATCGTAACTCATTTCATAAAAATTTTACAAAAATTCTAATTTGCTCGCGTAAACGCTATCCACATAATACATCAATATATGCCGTTGCCATATTTTTTTCTCTGTTAGAAACCAAGGAAACGGAAATTTTCGTGCATTTGCCAAAGTGATGCTGTGCCGTCCCCACATAGGTAGTTGTATACCACAAGTCTGTAGAAGTACAAACTTAAATTTCCAGCTCTCTACAAGCTTTAGTTCTCGAGAAATACCGAATATAGCTTTCCTTACTCAAGTGGTCCAAGCTAAAATTCAAATTTCTCGAAAACTAAAGCTTGTAGAGAGCTGAAAATATAAGTCTGTACTTTTTCAGGCTTGTGGTATACAACTACCTATGTGGGGACGGCACAGCATCACTTTGGCAAATGCACGAAAATTTCCGTTTTCTTGGTTTCTAACAGAGAAAAAAATACGGCAACGGCGTATATTGATGTCTTATGTGGATAGTGTTTACGCGAGCAAATTAGAATTTTTGTAGGATTTTTATGAAGTGAGTTACGATTTTTCTCAATTTTTCGGGCAGTTGAACCTTTTTAGTTTTTGGCTCGAAACTCGAGGTGAATGAGAGCTGTTGCAAAAGCAAGATGGCCATCTTGTAGAGCTTGCTTTGCTCTATCGAATGGTACTTTGCAACCCATTTAGAGATGAGAAGTATATGACTTAGCGCGGTTGGAATTTAAAACGGGCATTAATTTCCGGACAACCTAATATTTACACAAAATACTTAGTGTAATCTTCTTATATTTCTTCTATTTCGTTTAAAAATTCGGAATTGAAGAATGCTAGGATTACTTGTTTTATAAAGTTTTTCTCTAGAGAATGAATGTATTTGAAAATTTCATGATGGGTGATTGTATGGTTGATATCATTAACGAAGATGTTTAAAGTCTCTTTGTTTTTATTCTTGTTTCTGTGTTTGCTACGTATTCTGTTTCTGGCTGGATCTACGGGAAGGGTAGGTGCCAGACTATGCGACTGTTTTGTTCAGCTGCAGAAGGCGCGCACAATTAACGTCAACTGCTCGCCTTCTGCAGCTGAACAAAACAGTCGCTTAATCTGGCACCTCAGTCGCTTAGTCTGGCGTCTACCAAACTAGCCATGCAGCAATCACAAAACACAGTTGATCCTGAAGAAGTGAGTTGGTGTTTGTGGACATCATTACCTCCTTTCACATTCTAGGCTTTATTTTGGTGTCTGAAAAGTATGACTGTATCAAGAAATTTGGCCAAAGGATTGACTGCAGTAGAAAGGCAGGGTTGCTGGAAACTGCAAGAAGAAAGGCCGGACTGTCAAGTTTTGACTGCTTTTGCGAGCATCGAGTAAATGAGTTATAAAGGAAAGGCTGTGCTCCGGTATATGCACAAATCTTTAACGTCGATTTGAAGCCGAATAATGGAATACGGCATATGCCTATGCAAAGTAAGTTTGTAGTTTTGCGTCACTGTACATTTTTGCTCAAATTCTATTTCTTATCACTATTTTTACCTTTTATCCTTTTTTTGAGAACTCATGACTTTTAAATCTAGAAGGAACCAAGATGCGAGCTCGAATATTAGCTTCTACTGGCCCGCATAGACTTCTCGTGGGAATCACCATTGAAGAATGCGCAAAGATTAGTCAACTTTGCTCCTTCGAAGAAGAAAGGTCAAGCACTCATGGAATTGGCGCAGGTATACAGCACTGATTACCTGCCTGCGCGTAATAAGCATCCATCTTAGGTTTTGACTGCGGTGATTTTTGGCTGCGTAGAACGCTCTTCTTGAGTGTCTGCTACATCCAAATCCTCAGTGATGCCTGATGGTGCAGAGATTCTTCAAGCTAGGCTAATTTTTCGTAAGTTTTTCTTATATTCGTTTTTTTTCAGTGCACAAGCAAGAAGTTTAGCAGATTAAACCGATCAAAAGGTTTGACTTAAGTCTTTGCGAGAATTGATTGACTGCATATGTGGATTTAGCTGTGCCAAACGAAAGTGCTGCTGTTTGAGGCCAAATGTCGCCACTTTCGAAAAAATTCGGCCAACTGAACTCTCAGATACCGGATGGGTGTCTTTCGCTCAAAGTAGGATTTTTGTTCATTTCTAGATATTGCAAATCTGCAGAATCAATTTCATGCGTTAAATCAAAAAATCAATGGCTTCAAATCAACCCATGGGTCAGTTTCTCATACAAAGATGCTCGGGCAGATGCATCATGTATCTCTCGCGGGCAGATACGCTTCGAGATGAAGTTATTGTTGAGAGAAGTGAAGAAGAGGAAAATGAAGAAACCACGGACGAACTGGATGCGAGACCGAACACAACAATGAGAAAATCTTTGGGCATGCACATTTCACCCAATAGAATTTCATCAGTAAAACTCATTTTCTTTTTACAATGTATTAAGTATGTATGTGCTAGTTTAAAATAAATGTCTCGTCTTGTCTTCATTCTTCTATCTTACTATCTACAAACGCTGGGGTGAGAGGGAGGGGGTAAGAACGGGGTGGGGGTCGTGCTGAATTTCTACCTGGGGGGGGGGGAGGTGGGGGGGGTCTTAACCGGCGCTCGTATGCCACACCGTTTGCTCGACCCTGGTCTAGAGCTAATTTGGGTGGGATTTAAAGGCACCGTCCACCCAAAATGGAGGTTGGCGAGATTATGATGGCATACTAGTGTGGGCCCTCATACTAGACAAACCTCCAAGCTTCGCCGCAAAAGACTGCTTCTGAAGCGAGAAATCCGCTCCGGAAGTTAAAATTTGGGCGGGGCGCCTCCGGCGGTCCACCCAACTCGAATTCAATGTTTTTGTCGCCTTCAGGCCTTCTGAAAGCCCTGATTCCGAATATGGAGTTGGGGGTTTCGCGAATATAATTCGCGAAACCCCCAAAAATCCTTGTTTCGAGAACCCTCTGCAACAAGTGCAGGCGAGGTAAACCATGCAAGTGGGCGGGGCGACCGGGGGCACCTCGCCCACTTTTGTTACTTCTGGAGCGGATTTCTCGCTTCAGAAGCAGTCTTTTGCGGCAAAACTGAACTTGGGGGGTTTGTCTAGTATGGGGGCCCACACTAATATGCCATCATAATCTCGCCAACCTCCATTTTGGGTGGACGGTGCCTTTAAGGGCATAATTGGGGTTTGGAGCTTAATTAAGGCTAGTTACAGTATGCCACGGGGGACATGCGGGGCACAGAATGGGAGGTCTCCGGAGCACAAAATTTGAGTGCTCTGGAGCACGAGCGGCAAACTCCCGCTGGGCAGACCCCGGCACCCTCCCATTTTGTCCCAGAGGTATGCCGTCGACTATCTGAATTGAGTTTATGTGATCGCGGAAAAATAGAGGATGGAATGGTTTGCAGCTTCCAACAGAAAATGGAACTTTATTCATACCTATAAAGAAAGTGTCCGTTAACAAGCTGCAGTTGATCTTCGGATTCATTATACAGTGCCAAAGCTTCAGTAGCATTTTGTTCAAGTGCGCAGTCGTACGTCTAAATCGAACAGGGCAATTAATACTATAGATTTTGGCTTCTGCTTTTGTTGATGTCAAATCATACTTCTTTTGTGAAAGCGGTGGCACTTTGTAAGATAGACAGCAAAAAGACCGTACAGTTACAGTTCTCTAACACGCATTTATTTTCTTAGATAGCAAAAACATAAGAACGACACCAGTTCATTAGGTCAGCTCATATGCTCGTAAAGTTTTCATAAATCAACGAAATGAAAAAATTCTAGCAAAATTCGGGCAAATTTTGATTCATTTTTGAGCTCAAACCTCTGCCAACTTGCTCAAATTTTCAGTTTCGTTTTTTCAATGTTCCGTGGGTCAAATCCTAAGAAAGTTGTACGTTTTTAGCCCATGTCAGAGGAGTTGGAATGAAATTTTCTTTTGCGATTTCAAAAAAGTGTAGGAATATAAGCGAGTAAATACGTAATAGACGAACCAAGTTACTAGACTTATTCAAATAAGGCGATATAATGCTTCTAATAGGCGTTTACAAGCATTGGCCTTGAAATCTTAGCCTGATATCGAAATCTTACCTTCTCAGACAATCGCCGGGGCAGGCGGTCCGCAAACTCGCGTTTTTCTGCAGGCGCTCAGCAGAATTTTGGGGCGTGGCCAAACCTTTAGCGGGCGGCACTTCTTTTACTGTCCAATGTTCTGCCAGCGGGCAGCAACACAGAATTTCCTGCAGGCGCTCGTCAAGTAATCTCTTTCAGCGAGCTCTGGTCAAATTTTCAGCTGGCGCTCGGACGGTTTTTAAGCAGTTTCGGGTGTACGCCGGGCAAAGGTGAGACTCTATTCAGCGAGCTCTGGTCAAATTTTCAGCTGGCGCTCGGACGGTTTTTAAGCAGTTTCGGGTGTACGCCGGGCAAAGGTGAGACTCTACATGGCAGAGGAGTCATCGGTTTAATTACTCAAGTTTGAGGTACTTTCACTCAGCGGAAAGTACCTGGGGGCTGCGCGGTCCTCCATAAAAGACCGTGCGCCCCCCGAAAATTTTGCACATTCTCGCGGAAAGTCCGCGAGAATGCGGCCACTGTGCCGCAGCTAATCTGCAAGGAAACCGCAATTGTTCCTCGAGCATTCGTCCAAAATTTCGCTAAAATTCTTCCAAATATCTGCAAGCGAACCGCAAGAAATCAGAGAACTATTTTTCCGGTGCCCGCTTGCCCAAAAATGGCATGGCCGCCTGCCCCCGCCGATTATCTGAGTTACCGTCATCACAAATAAGGAAGATTCTCGTTCAGTTTTAAATAGTACAAAGCGCCGCTTTGAGGCGCATTGGAATTAACTGAAAGTTATTTTCAAAGTTTTGTGGCTTACTAGGAACGCCAGGGGTTATCAAAGGAAGAATGTCACGACTGTTGATACTTCATAGAAAAATTCCAAAATTTTCCTCCAAAGAAATGCCAAAGAATTTTGACTGTTTTCTCCGCTACTCCTATCACTGCTGTTCACTCTTATGCTCTAAAGAGTCCTTAACTTCCTCACAACTTCCTCTTGAATTTTCCAGGCTTGCGTTTTGCCGTCATTTCTGATTCTCTGAGCAAAAGTGCTTCCCCCCCCCCACCAACATTTTTTATGGCTGTACTACTAATCTTTTTTGCACTCTCACATCTTCAGATCTAGGAACGCCTTCGAATCTTGCTTCAAAGAGCTGTAATCAAAATGCCCACTTACACGTTCACAGTCTGTCCCAGTTCAGATTAAGCCATGATTGTCATGTTGTTTCAGCTGGGAACCTCAGAGAAGTGATTCAGCCCTGGCTCCTCAACCGTCTTTATTCCGCTTTGGAGAGGGCGCGTTACCCTCGGAACAAGTAGCGATTGCGCTTTTTCCGCCTCGTCGCATCGCAGCAGGCAAAGCACAAGGCTGCGCCCAGCTTTCCACTCTTTGCCGAAGGTGCGAGTTTCTCGAAGCAAACGGTACCAGCCCCTTCCCTTTCAGTCATTCAACTCCCGAGGCAACACCAGCGCACAACGTCGCCCATGGCTAGAGGCTCACAGCAGTTTTCTACGAGAGGGTCTCACCTTCAGCCGCTTCAGGAGGCGCACGTTCCCCGCAACCATCCAAAGGCTCATCCTCCTTTACCCCGTCACGCGCTCGTGGCCGCATGGCTCCATAACATTTTCGAGAGGCTCGCCCAGTTCCCAGCACATTCAGGACCGACCTACCTCTATTCCACCTGGCCCATCTGCAGAAACGAAAAGCGCCATCCCCATTCACCGACCGCGCGAGCACCGTTCTCCAGCTATCCGCCACGTCAACGAGCCTCGGCCCGTCCAATCCAGGAATTTACGTTGCCGGACTTTGATCACTACCTCATCAATCGTCACTTATGGGCTCATTTGGTCAATTCCCTTTCATATAATCTGCTAATTGACCCCAACATTCAAGCCATCGGATCTGCCGGTCAACGATTACAGGCACCTACCCTCTTCGGCACATAACAACACGAAGTTCGCCCGTCGTGTTTCCACGCATCGAATTAGGGCCGGTCGCCCAGTTCGCGAACTCCCATTTATTAAACTGCAACATCTAGAGGACACAATCGCCTTCCGTGGTCACCCTTTGAGAATGGTTGCAGATGTGTTTGAAGACGCTTACGATGAGTTCGGAGAGCCTCAAGTAGCCCTAACAAACGAGCCGCGACATTACCTGCTCAGCCCTGAGTTCGGCGTAGAAAACGACCAGTTTTGTATCAGTAGTCTCCTTGGAAATGGCGATCCGGCGTAATCCTTGAATCTATGGACATCTTCGTGCTTGAACTTGATCGGCGCGAGCTGTACTGTATAATAATGGATTCTCGGGCGATTGACATCACCAACGGGCAAGAGGGATTCGACAAAGCCTCCATTACGATCAAAGACTTTGTCTGGTATGACGTCAAATCGTCAAACCAGGTTTTCACTCATCCCAAGGAAGCGTTGACACGGTGCTGTGTTTTCTGCACAACCGCGCTGAACAACCCCTCGACTTACTTTTTTTACTACCCCCTGAACAGATTGACCGCTTGCTGGGCGTAGTCATGGCCTCAAAAAGCCATCGTCAAGGAGTCAACTCTTTCAAGACTGTTTTTGAAGATGCCCCGGAGCCTGTCGTCGTCAAATCCGACATCTGCCGCTTTCATCTGCTAACCATCAGGGTATACTAGTTCTTCCTGGCGGACGTCTGCAATGTCTCGTGCGCAATGCGTTCCGAGCCTCCAGCCTCCATCGCAGCCCGCGAACAACTTTGTTAGCTCATCAGGGAGTTTTTCCCAATGCATTCCTGAGAGGGAGTACGCCCCTTGGGCGTTATTCTTCCAAACATGGAAGAACAGGCCTGGCCCGAAGATTGCGCCGCTCGCCTCGAAATTTCGCGAGGTTCTTCTACGAGGCCAGACGCCGAATGCTCAAATGGTTTAATGTGGCCTGCTCAGGAATCGCAGCCCTGCTGCACGACGACCACAAAGCCGTTGGGTCTTAGCCGACGTTCCAAGCCTCTCGGTTTATCCTCTTCGGTTGGACTTCATCCTCCGCGATATGGCGAGCGAGGCAGGCTCTGGACACTGCATCGTCCTGTAGCTGTATTGATAGATGCATCCTCGGCTCTAGCATTTGTCAAGTGCGCGATCGCTATGGATCCTGTAGCAAAAACCTTAACGGTCTCGGTTCGTGCTTCCATTGGTTAAAGAGCGCTTTGTTTCGAGCAGTTTCAGACGGCATCCGTCGCGTTGAAGACACCCGGAGAGTCTTCATCTGCGTTAGGTTATGTAGGCCTCTTACTGCCACTCAAGCCGCACACACGCGTATCCCCAGAGAGCACATTTGCCAAAAAGTGTGCCAGGCAGCCGCGGAGGGCGCTATGAATGCAATGTATGGCTGAGCCGAAATGACTTGCGCTCTACACAATCGACAGAAGCCGATGGTCACGCGTCTTACGAGCACCCAGTTCGGATACAGAGGACACCAAATTGCTCTTACTCAAGACCAGCAGGCCGACATGTCTTGAATTTACATATCGGGTGTCCGCAATCCCGCTTTTGGCACAAGCAAAACCGCGGTTGGAGCCCTTTTTGCCGCTCATCTGTATAAAGCTGGCGTGTCCGTACCGTCACGGCCATAACCAACACGGCAGTCTCCCAGTTCGCGGACACCCTTCTGGACCTCGACGACTTCCAAGAAATCCCGTTGGCGATGCATCTCTGATGCCGCTTCTGCCGACAACAGTTTCCCTACGGCGACAGACCTGAATACCACCCTGAAGTCTCTCGGCGACATTTTTGGCAAGCGCATGCACATCCACCGAGCGTGGCATATGCCGCGAATTCAAGACAAGCAGGTAGGCACTGGAGAGGTCGCCGAGAGACTCGGATCGCTCCCTCCATGTTCAAAGAAAAAGGGGGAGTGCTTTATTTTCGATCAACACGCGTCTCGACGTTTGAAGAAAATGGTCGATCTCATGTTTAGATACCATGCACCCGCGGTCATTTTCGCAACGAGTCATGTCTTATCAACACATCGGCCGCAAAGGCATCTTTGAGAAGCATATGGCACGCTTTACGGTGTTAAGCGGAGACGAAGCATCTCAAATCCTGGAGCCCACGGTGGTTATGCATGCTATGCTACTTCCCTGAGTGCGTCAGATTTACATCGGCGACGTACACTAGCTGGAACCCCACATCTCTGACCCCGCGAACTCTAGCGTCACGATCTACGGCGCTCGCAGTGTCATGAAAATTTCTCGCAGGCCAATATTGCGGTCACAGCTTTCTATCGAAAACAATAGCGCCAGATGCATGCGAATGCCCGAGTTCTCGACATCGGTGGCTAAGGTTGACTCGATGCAAGAAAAGGAGAAGGAGGTGGTAGTCTTACTCACAACTTGAACGGACGCCAAGCTAAAATTCTGCGGAATTCCTTGACAAGTATCGGCGTAAGAACGTAGCTTTTTCTCGTTGTAGGCATTTCAATTCAACTTTGGTCGGGCGGCCTCTCCTGCTCG